AAAAAAAGCACAGCTTTAAAAGACTGAATGTGCCATTCAAAGATTTTTTCCATCTTTTATTCAGAAGACATTCAGAATTAAAAAAACTGGAATAAAAGAAGTTCTAGAATAACCAATAAGGTTTCAAACCCTTTAAAACTGAACATGTCTTTTAACTAATTTGCATAACTGCACTTGTCTGTTAATACAAGTTTCTAAAATGAAAATAAAAACATTTTCTGGAAGAAACTGAACTGTGTTTCCCTTTTCCTATGTGACAGTTAAGTAGAAATAAAATGTTTTTGTAGTGATGCACGAGTCAGAGAGCGATTGTGGGGGAAGGAGGAGCAGGAGGAGCTGCAAGATCAGCATCATGTGTGCACAGAGTCTCAGCTGGAGCAGATGAGTAACCAGTGGTCTCTTCCTATATATAGGAGCAGTTGTGCTCCAACTGGTGCTTTGCCAGAAACATTTCATTTCTAACCGACTGGTGACCCACTAGTGTTTTACAGAAGGTATTCACTCATTTTTTCTCCTCATGCAAGTGATTCTGTTTTTCACATAATATTTCACAGCTCTCCAATCTCTGGTCCCCAGAGCTTCTGGTTCTGCAGCGATGCACCTTTCACACTCTGCCTTACCCGGGACCTGGTTTGTCATTATGCATTTCCTTAAATGTCTGTTTACTGCACAACATTCCTCTGAAGTCCAGCTTCTTTTGGCAGCCATTTCTTTACCTAAGGACAAAAAAAAATTCTTTAGCTTTACAAAATAGCTTTGACAAACCACTTCATTTTTAATGACTGTAACTACAACAAACAAACTAAAAAACTCCAGCTTCTGAAAGCTGAGGAATGGCTCATTGACAATAAACAGTCTTTTTGTATCCCCTGTAGGGCTGCAACAAACGATTATTTTCATAATCGATTAATCTGTTGATTATTTTTTCGATTAATCGATTAATCTGTTTGTTATTGTTTAGCTATTTAACCTATACAAGTGATGAATGCATTTCAGTTAAGAAAAAAAACATAAGAGAATTGTGCAGTTGATTTTTTTATTTTATTTTATTTTTTTCTATTTTATTGCACATGAACACAGTCAGCAGTGTAAAATGAGCTAAACAGTGCAAAATATCAGTCCAGAATATATATATTTTTTTTGCATTAGCTGGAAGCCTGCTCCTTCCACCATGGATAGTGGCCTCATGTCTTTTACCAGCATGTTTAGAATAGAGTTTGTAAGTGGTATGCATTGCTGGGGGGTGAGTGTCTTGTTCCCCATGTAGTTATCCATCGTTGCTTGTTTTTTACTGCATAAGAAACACAAATTGACTGAAATAAGTACACATATAAAATAAAGCAGCACACACACTACAACACTAAATCAATATTATATTATTTAAATTAATTAACAATATACAGTGATCATTTATTTTGAGGGTTACGTTCTACAAAATAGCCCACAACAGGAGATATTCAGAAAAAAATTCAAATTTTTTTTTACTATTAAAAAGCTCTAAGTAAGAAGCTCATGAGGTTTTTACTTTGAGTCGGGAATGTTTAAATTAGCTAGAGAAATGTGAAAAATGTTTATTTTGTGTAATACTGTTTAACCCTTTGATGCACTACAGTGGACATGTACTCAAAATTGTTATTTATTTGTTTTTGCTATTAAGCACAGCTGTTGAAGACTTTATTGCATTTGAGCCCCTCCATTTGGACTTCAGTAAGCCAAGCCAACATATTTCATGCTCAGAATGCATGCTGTCCACTGAGGTGGACATGTAATAAATTATTTGTAAATTATAAAATTTTACAAAAAATATTTGTTGAAATTTGTTTCATTCACACCTAAAGACGAATGAAAAAAATTGTTAAAAAATCATGGTTGAAGATTTCATAATTCATGCATCAAAGGGTTAAGAAACATGATAAAAATGTGTTGTGAGGCGTTTTACAGCATTAGATAGTAAAACAGCCTTTTAATAGTTAAAAAATGACTTTCTGAATTTCTCCTGTATTTAAAAATTGAAAGAGTACAACTATGCCGCATTATATTCACCTGGACACAGCTTGTCTGTATATTTTTCTCCGCGGAGTTGTCCTTTTTTGAATGAGGAACATAGTTATGGGTTTGTGCCGTTTTTCTCTTAACGAGAACATTCTTATAAACAGACGTGCTATATTTGGCAAGCGCATGATACACAGCATGGAGGAGATTCACAATTGCATTTAGTCAATCAGAAGTAGAACACCGTAGACTGACGCGGCAAAAAACATGTTTAACATCCACTATAACGAACTCAGCTAAAACACTAAGTCCCAAATTTGATCTGCGTGTAGTGATGACTTATTTTCTGTTACTTACCGGGCTGGCGCTTCCTCTGCTGCATCAGCCCCCACATGTTTTCGTCTCAAATGTTCACTTAGGGACGTCGTGCTTCCGTGCCATGCTAGATGGTTTTTGCATATTTTGCAGGTCACCCGTCTTTTCATGGCATCTAGAGTGAAGTGCTCCCATACTCGTGAGGTTTTTGTCCGGGGTTTCTCTTCAGTTTTCTCGCTTCTATTTTTCTTCCGTATTTCTTCTTGTTCCGCCATCTCTCACAGCAAGAATTGCGTCAGTAACGTGTTACGTCACGAAAACCGAGGGCACTTATTGGCTCGTTTCTTCTTCTACGGCTCCACTGGTGGATCAGTGGCTCATTACTGCCACACACTGGCGGCAAATTTAACAGATTGTAACCGATGTCAGATCGTGGTAAAAATAGACTTTATGCGGTAAAATGTGATTATTAAACAACTAATCGATGACTAAAAAAGTTAACTACTTTAATAATCAATTATAATCGATTAAATCGATTAGTTGTTTCAGCTCTAATCCCCTGGTGGAGAAAAACTGGAGGTGAGAGAAACCGAAGTGTAGAGAAAAATGTAACCAAAAATTGTGCGAGAAATGTTTTCTCAGGTGGTAAAACAACTACCTAGATACCGATAGTTGTCAGCCTTCAGTCTCAAAACTATGAGGGGGAAAAAGCAACTGTTCAAGAAAATGCTGGTAATTAAACATGACAGCGAGTCACCACACCAAATCTGTCATAATATAACTTTATTCATACTTTTGGAATTTACTTTACAAATCAAAGCAATGTGGGTCATTGTAATCATGCTAATTAGTCATTTTAACTCATAAAATAGTTTTTTTATTTTGCTCCCATTTAATCCCAAGAAATGTCAAAATCTTCAGTAATATATGTACATATATACATATACACACACACTATATATATATATATATATATATATATATATATATATATACACACACACATATATACATATTGTAATGAAAGTTGCTGTGGGCAGCACGGGCAGAATATCTGGCCCTCCAGTCAGAACCCGAAAACACCACCAGTAGGCAATGACTTATAATAGGATACGCTTTATTGCACCATATACTAAAACACAATAATAGAACCCAATAATAAAACACTATAATAAAACACTGTGGCCAAAGTCTCCACTCCTAAAATCAGCTGTCCAGCATAAACACACAAGCAGCGGTACTTAGCTGTCACGGATGGTGTGACCCCCCTCCCCGGGATCTGAGCTTCCAACGCCGTCCAACGCCCCGGGATGTAGCTTGCGAGAACGGCGGGTAAATCCACAAAGTAAGTCCACTACCAGAGTCCGTAGCAGCAGATGTCGCGTGGTCTTGGCATCCACTATGCCCAGCCTTCGCTGTCTAAAGAAGGCGATCAGCCTTCCCTCCTGAAGCTGGAACTCTAAACACCTGTTAAACTATCTTCGTCGCTGGCAGCCCTAAACGACTGCGAATTACCCCACCCCCCAAAGTCCGATGCCACAATGACAGGTCGACCGCGCACCCTTCTCAGTAGACCTGTCACCGTTTTATCCTCCCTGGCCTCGTTATGGATAACGAGGACCAGCTGGTGTCCAATCACCACGCCCTCAGAGTCCGGCAGCTTCCGTCTTCTGTCCATCACACTCTTCCCCTCTTTGTCCTGAAGGACTCGCCCTCGAGTCCTAGATTTCCACCTTATAATCCTTATACCAAGCAGGGGGCCTCCTCTGACAAACCACGCGTTGCTCCACAGCTCCAGATCCCTCGACCGTCCCAGGGATACGTCCTCCCGATCCTCCTCCAATCGCACCCCCTCGAGCAGCCTCTCCCTGCAATGGGGCAGGGTTGCTTGAATCACCGGAGCCCCTCGTCTCCAAGGCAACACCCCTAACCCACTCCCATCTTAGGGCTCCCCAGAAGCAATTTTGAAATTCATACCCTGTCCAGGAGTATTAATTATAGTGTTTTTAAAAACACGTCAGACATTACCGAAATGTTCTAATATTGTCAGATGAAAAACAAAATCATCTAAAATTAAAATAAAATAAATGAAATGAAATAAAATCTATATCTACAGTGTCTGGGACTACAAAAGGCAGTGTAGAAAATCTTATCAGCTTGAGGATTATAGGGTGGGTCCCTAGAAAATTTCTACACCCAAAAGTTTGAGAACCCCTGGACTAGAAGGCCACACCTGTGCAAATGTACTAAAGGAGGTGCAACAAGCAGCAATGCTTTGCAGGTCAACCATGATGCTATGTCTGCACTGACTTTGTACCCCATAGCTGGTGTCAAATCAACTGTGCTTCCACTATAGATTGAGGGAGCTTTTTCAAATTTGTGTCATGTAACATTCCAATTTTCAGGTCCTCAAGAGCCCCTATCCAGCATGATTAACTATTTTCCTAACTGCAACATACTTTATTCCATGTTTTAATTATCTGTTCAGCATGTTCTTAAGTTCTGTTGAAGCTTGCTAATCACCCAATGGGTTAGATGTGTTTAAGCACAGAAATGGATTCACTACACTTGACTACTTGGGCGATTAACAGGCCTCTGCAGAACTTGCAGCCCTGCTGGATAGCCGATTCAACCATTTAATTATGTATGATGGAACAGGGAAACAACTAAAACTTGCTACATAGGGGCCCTCCAGCACCAGGGTTGGACACAACTGGTCTAGTGTAATAAGAACTAATGAGAATTCAATTTGAGAATTGAAAGAAATTCATATCTTCCTCTTGTGAAATCCCATCCATATCAACAGTTTCTGAAATGCTAATAAGAAGTTTCAAAGGATAATGTTTTTGACCAGGAACTGCAGAACCAATACAAGAAAAGTTGGGAGCCAAATACTCTCTCTTACACAAATCACAAGTTTATAAATATCTTCAATAAGAAGGCTAGTGGATTTATATTCCTTAAAATAGAAATGATTACATGTCAATACCATTGACATCTAGGTGGATTTCATCCAGGCTCTTCCCTTTATATTCGCCTAGGCGTCCTTGTTCCAAGGCTAGGAGAACTTTGCTTACTTTTGCCAACTGTAGGGTACCCTCTGGAAGGCGGTAGTGCTTTCTGTGGACTGCAATGTTGTGCCCAAGGAAACTGGCTAATTGGTCCAGTTCTGTGGTCTTGAGATTCAAAACTGTTGACAAGGTAGCAATATGCTTCCTGAGCTTAGTTGAGGTAAGTGCTGCAGGGTTTTTCAAGTCATCGCATTCAGTTACAAACTGCCTTATACAGTCTGAACCTCTCAGGTAGTGGATGGAGTGAGGCAATGCAAACAGGTACTGGTTTTCTTTCAAAAATCCACATTCTTCACGATTTTCACTAAGGGCATCCAGTGATTCTTTCATAGGTGGGCTTGGTAGAACAGAGACTTTCCTTCCCCTCTTTCCCACAATGGTAATCCTGACAAAGTAGCTGCAAAGCTTTTGTTCAAGTGCCGTGAGGGCCAAGTTAACATCCTTGTGCGTTTCTGAGGCATCCTTTGACAAGTAAACAGACAACGGCATCCTGGAAACCTCACCAGCTCGCCGGCGATTGAAAAGAATGACTTGTGTGAGAGTCACTTTAGCAAGATCTTTCCAGGTTGAGTGTGAAGGCTTTTCTTTCAATGCATTTAAATGTTTTTGTTGTTTGTCAGATGGCTGTGAAGGATCTGGACATCATGTGTAAATGGGAGAAGGAGAGGAGAATTCCACTTCTTCTGTTCAATTTGAGTCAAAGCTTGACTAGCAATGTCATACCTCCAGCTTTCTTGACACAGTTGAATAAATTCTTCTGCATCTTGGACAGTTTGTTTGTCCTTCATCTTTAGTCCTTCAGTCTTAACAAACATGGCTAAAGCATGAATGTTGTGACCAACTTTTCTAGCAGGGGATGGTTTCTGGTACTTGCCATTTTCATCATTAAATCCAGCAAGGCGTTTTGTAGCAGAGATTACCTGACTGTACTTTTCAGGCTTGATCAGATCTTTAACACTGTTCACAGGAGAAACAGCTTTGGCTTCGAGTAGAAGTCGGCCAAGTTCTCTCAGGTTTTGGCGGATGTACTGGTGCTGGTTGACCAACTTCTCATTCTTCTTGAACAATCTGTATCCATAATCCAGTATGCAATGATCCTGCTTGATAGCAAGTGTAATCTTGTCTTGAATAAGATCGCTCAAGAACCTCCAGTATGCATCACTGAACCCCAGTGGAACTAGAATCTTTTTTTCCTGAGATATTTTTAGGCTGGCCTCGCTGTCTGTGCTTTCTCCGCTGGTGTCTGGTACATATTCTTCTTCACTCCCTTCACTGGCTTCGTCTAATCCAACAAAACTCTTAAATAATGGAGAAAGGGAGGTAGAAATAAGTTAGTATTTCTTCCTGCATTCTTAATTCAAAACAGAAATCAACGTCTTCATTTAAGTTCCCTCTTTATAAATAAAATAAAAAAGATGCTCCCTTTGATAAGAGTTTAGTCAAATTTTTTTCAGGACATTTAGAACCCAAACTGATGCAGTAAAATAACCGTGCGCTGCTAGATGAATTCTCGTGAGATTTGGAGTTTTCTTAAACTCAGGAGAATTCATCTTGTACCGCTCCAGATCAAACCGTCCGAACTCCGGGCCTAAGTAGACCAACCAATCGTGTGTCAGCACTAAGCTGTAGAGAGGGAGTTAGATTGTATCAAGCATCCTAACCTGGCAGCAGCACTAGCCAGGCACTAGCTTGCGCATCTTCCAATCAGTTTAAAATATTGCTACCAGAGAGCTCTCCCTCTTTCAGTTTCCGTGGCAGCGATTCTAGATCTAAATGTGTAGACTCGACACAGGATGGGGACACAGAGATCTGGCTGCTGCCAGGTTATCAGGAAAACATGTTACAGAAATACAAAAATGTGTCAACAAAAAGAGAAAGTGCAGAACAGCTAGCTTGACATGTACCACAGCATCTGGATTAGTGAGGAATGTTGCAATATAAACCACACATTTATTATAAATCAAATCAAAATCCTGTTCCGTTTTTGTTTTAAACAAAGTTAGAACTGGCCAGTATTTATAGCACCTTCCAAGAAATGTTTGTATTATTGCACTTACACACTAGCATGGCTTCTACACAGCCTAGATAGGCTAATTAGTGTTCAAATCTTGGTAGCCCGGGAATTTGCCGCACGCAACCAGATGCATTTTCAGCCCTCTTCCCAAGGCGGCCTGCCTCAGGCCGAAACCGGTCCAACACACACAATACCATTAGGGGGCAGGACCATCCCGCATGCACACTTCATTCTGGATGCTGAGGAGTTTATATTTATGTATTTAGCAGACACTTTTGTCCAAAGCAACTTACAAGTGACAATCAGCATGTAGCCCGTGAGGCTAACAACAACAAACACTATTCAGTCAATCATAGGTGGCAGTAAGGCAGCATTATGAATCATGGAGAGAAGTGAACAAGGAGTGGACAGCAGAGAGGGGGGACGGGTGCAGGGAGGGTGCTAGTTTAGAAGATGCTCTCTGAAGAGCAGGGTCTTCAGGAGTTTCTTGAAAATTGAAAAGGAAGCCGCAGTTCTGGTAGTGCCTGGTAGGTCATTCCACATTTGTGGAACGATGCATGAGAAGAGCCTGGATTGTCCTAAACGTGGTGTAGGCACTGCTAGCCGACCATCCTGTGATGACCGGAGCGGCCGAGACGTAAGCCTTTGCAAGAGGATTCAGGTAGATGGGAGCCGTACCATCTCGGACTTTGTATGCTAGTGTTAGCAATTTGAATTTGATGCGTGCTGCTTGCGGTAGCCAGTGGAGCTCAATGAGCAGAGAGGTGACATGTGCTCTTTTTGGCTGATTGAAGACCAGGTGCGCTGCTGCGTTCTGGACCATTCGAAGAAGTCTCAGTACAGGCTGGAAGACCAGTTAGAAGGGCTTTGCAGTAGTTGAGGCTTGTATCTTTGTGATTTTGGAGACGGCCCATGTGCTCAATTACGTCCACATCCCTAAGGCAGTGTGGAACAAACATGGCGGGCAGAGCGGAGTGGAGCCGATGCTAGTGTGTAAGTGCCATTAGACTTTACAATAACAGAACACTGGATATTTACAAAATTTTAAGGGTTTAAAAAAATGTTTTGACAATACACATTTGAAATTGAATGATGAGGCTTACAGAAAAGGAAGATCCTCTTAGCCAGTGTGACTCCATTTCATTTGATGCTGAAGGGACTTCCATACTGTCATCACCTGAATCATCTAGCGCATCAGAAAAACTTGGTACTTTCTTCTTCATCTGCAACATATTACATTGAAGTGAATTTTACAATTCATAATCATATTTTAAATGAAAAATATTATAGATTCACTATATAAGCTAATTATGTTATGTAGTGAAGTAAAGTTGGTAAAGAAAGATTGCTTCTGGTTCGTCTAAGCTTTGGAACATCATCTCCAATTTGGCCAACTGCATACTGATTTGAATAATAAACAGTGTGTCAAAACAGTGAGAAGGTTTCAGTACATGAGCAAGAACAGTGTTGTGTAGTTTAGATTATACAGTCAGGGAAAAAATAATTGAAACCATGCTGAATTTGTACGTTTGCCCCCTAACAAAGAAATGATCACTCCAACTTCAATTATTTAAACAGTGAGAGAAAATTTTAAAAAATGCATTTCAAATTAGGTAAGAATTATTTCACATTTTTGTGAATTAAATAGTTTTTAGATCCCCGTCGACAAGATCTCTTGCTCCTATGGGGATACCCCCATGATACCCTATGGATGACTGCTGAGGAGAGTACCGTATTTTCACGACCATAGGGTGCACCGTGTTATAGGGCGCAGCTTCAGTTACCGGTGTCTTTTTGGTATTTAACACATACAAAAGGCGCACCGGGTTATAGGGCGCAGCTTCAGTTACCGGTGTCTTTTTGGTATTTAACACATACAAAAGGCGCACCGGGTTATAGGGCGCGGGCGCGGCACGGTAAAACGTACCGGTAAAACATCTGTGCGGGTTCAGGATTCGGATCATATCAGTGCAAACCAGACATTGTGAAAATTATAAACAGCCAAAAGCATATTTCACTTTACTGGTCTAGTCCTGGTTTAGAGCGCACGTGCATTTCCTCATTGCGTGCGCTGACGGCTCGTGCTCTTCTAATGGGCTCGACACACAGGAGGCAACTTCACCTCTCCTCCATTAATTTTCAATGAGACACGCGCGGCAAAGCGATAATCGTGGGTCTCCCTCCTACTAAAGCCGGGCGTACACCGGGAGTGCTGCAGGAGGACACGCAGGGATTTATGGGGGTTGGATGAGGAAAACGAAATAAAGAAAGTAAATCTGTGTTTGTGATCAGTTTAGTTTGACATGAACACGACAAACACGCTTTCTTGACAATCTTTGTGAGTAAAAAAACCGTGTAGAAATAAAAATGAATAGCGTGTGTTATTAGGGAAATAGCGGGCGAGCGGTGTTGATGCACGATTGCGCATGCGCCGTGAGCGGTTCTGGTACTTACTGTATTGGGTCGCAGCTGCTCGCAGCGCCGCTTCAACAGTGCCATACCCTCATGAGGGACAAGCAAAATAACACGCCAGAAGTCCGTGCGAGCTCACGATTGCACAGTTGAAGCGGTGCAGCGAGCGGCTGAGACCCAAAAAGTACCAGAACCGCTCACGGCGCATGCGCAATCATGCATCAACACCGCTCGCCGCTACTTCTCTAATAACACGTTTTTCGTATTTCTACACGTTTTTTCACTCACAAAGATTGTCAAGAAAGCGTGTTTGTCGTGATCATGTCCAATTAAACTGATCACAAAACACAGATTTACTTTCTTTATTTCGTTTTCCTCATCCAACCCCCATAAATCCGTGTGTCCTCCTGCAGCACTCCCGAAGGACAACAGGCAAAACAAAAGTCTGACGTGTAGTGTTAAAACTGCTATTTTTAGCATATTTTTAGGTCCGACATGTTGCTACCAGACGTACAGTGTGAGCAGTCAGGTCTCATCCGAGAGCTCCGTACTTCTCCGAGCAAACATGAAGGTGATTATTATTATGTTTTATAGTAAAATCAGAAGTAAGATTTCACATAACTCTAGCAGCACCTTGTGAAACATCATATCTACCAATTTTTTAACTCTGAACCGCTTAAATAACCTTAATTCCCTCCAACCTGACACAGCCAATCAAAACAACGGAAGATTCACATCCCCTTATGCGCTGTGTTGAAGTTCAGAATGTGTTTAGTTGGTAGATTTAACCACATAAACTTTCCACATGAACAAAATCATATGTGTATTTTCAATAGGCCTGAGAAAATAGTGTGATTTGAATTGTGTTTTATTAAAAAAGGCAGCAGGAGCAAAAATGAGTTTGGTTGTGCTTTATTTGAGCGCTATTACCGGTAATTAATCATCAAATCCATCAAAGTCCTCATCTTCTGTAGCTGATAAGAACAACTGGGCTCGAGTACAGTCAAACACGCCAGGTTCTCTCTCGTCACAGTCAGAGTCTTTCTCGTTGTCGTTCATCTCCTCATGAATGATGCCGGCTTTTGCAAAAGCCCGAACAACAGTACAAGTAGACACATTAGCCCAAGCATTTACAATCCATTCACAAATCGCGGCGTAACTCGCC